TGGCAAAACTTATGCATGTTCAGGCCTAGAACAAATTAATGATTAATACAATAGGTCCTGTAATGTAGGTCGACAAAGATGAAAAGCGGGAAATTTAAAATTTCCTCTGGAAAAAGGAAGGTATATATTGGAAAGGGTTAGAAATTAAGCCTTGCATGAAGAGTTGTTGCATGAAGAGTTGTTGCATGTGTTCTTTAACATGCAAAACCGTGGCACTCTCTCAATACGAGGCATTTGATATAATATCCCTAATCTAACAGGACGCGGCTTTGTATTTATACATCTCGCGTAAGGTTTTACTGGCGGTCGGGTAAAGACTAAGGTGACCTTTTTGCTATACCCTATTCACCCTTGTAGTATATAATACATAGACAAAATATTCATTGAACAGAACGAGCCATAACCAGGAAATTACGGCCAACAACTGATTCAGCCATAAGAGAATCATGTTAATGAAACGGATACTGGTCTAAAAAATTAGTATGGTGATATCAGGTGGATGATATTGAAGATGTTGGGGTATTTGGCAAGCAGGGATTGATGAAATAGACAGTCTATTTTTCAAATTTATTTCGTCCTTGAGTTGTAATACCACCATTGATTTTCCCCTATTAGTCGTTGTTAAATTTGCACTTTTCAAAAAATTGTGCAGAATTTATCTTTGTTTCAAATAAAGAAATACTTGGCATGAGTAAAGATTTATCCTGTCCAGTACTATAGAAAACATTTCACATAACATTTCATTGCATATAAGAAAATAACCATCACTGGAAGTTAACCAATCAAATTTTTCCCCTTTTTTAACCTGTGTACAAGCTTTAGTAACCATGTAACCTCAAGTTTCCAAAATATTCTATAGAAACCCCAAATAAAGAAATAATGGTGCTTTGAAATACCCAAGATATATGTTTATGACTCAGAAATGTTTTACTGCAATGAAATGTAGGATCAATTACCTACAACTGTCAAATTCAAGGGAATATTTTTGTTCGACCTATTTTCGTATGCAACCGGATGTGACGTACTATGATTTGGTGGTATTACACCTAAAGAAGACTTTTTTGTTAAATAAACTGAATGTGACTTTTTTCCTTTGTAATACTGGTTATTTCAAGCATTCCTGTCAAGTTTTGTCATAATCAGTTCAATAGTTTGAGAAAAATCTAGTATAATGTAAAGACGACATCTACAGCTATTCGAGCAAAATTTCTTCGAAAAATCCAAACCAAGCCGCATCATAATAGAATATAGTGTGGACCAATAAATGATCAAATATTTATCTCATCTGCCTACAAACAGTTGAATATGATACAACAGATGACTTTAGGATGATAAATACTACTAATGGACCTCTTTGTCTTCCTTATAAGGTCTCTTTTGGTCCATTTATACCTCTCATTTCCTCAAAATTTCTCTTTTTTAGGCCAATAAATAATAAATTTGGGGTAACTTTCACTCATTTATGATAGAAATGTTATTATAAATGATTAATTGAAGTATTCAAGCTGAATGAACTATCCATATAAAAATTTACTGTCTCCAAGGAGGTTTCAATAAGTCCTTACGTAAAACTTAAATTTACGCCGCGTTCCAGAGAGGGACACAAAAAAATTCTCTTTTGGTGAATAATTTGTTGTTACTGCTTTAAAAATAATTTCATTTACTTAAAACTATGTATTTATTAAAGTATTTCTTAGGAAAAATTTTCTAGTATAGCAGAATATAAGAAATAAGGAGAAAAAGCTCCCCAAAACTCTTAAGTATGGCTTGTTCTGTCAACTAATATTCATGGTAAAGTCTTATTTCAAGGAAATTTTCTCATAAAATGTATTTTGGAGACTCAATCCACTCAGACTATTTCATTATTTGTAATATTTCACTTAAATAGCAAGAAATTTTAACACATGAGAGTACACACAAGGTCAAAGGTGCATGTACAGCTTCCCATATTAGGTGTAATACCACCATTGATTTTCCCCTATTAGTCGTTGTTAAATTTGCACTTTCAAAAAATTGTGCAGAATTTATCTTTGTTTCAAATAAAGAAATACTTGGCGTGAGTAAAGATTTATCCTGTCCAGTACTATAGAAAAAATTTCACATAACATTTCATTGCATATAAGAAAATAACCATCACTGGAAGTTAACCAATCAAATTTTTCCCCTTTTTTAACCTGTGTACAAGCTTTAGTAACCATGTAACCTCAAGTTTCCAAAATATTCTATAGAAACCCCAAATAAAGAAATAATGGTGCTTTGAAATACCCAAGATATATGTTTATGACTCAGAAATGTTTTACTGCAATGAAATGTAGGATCAATTACCTACAACTGTCAAATTCAAGGGAATATTTTTGTTCGACCTATTTTCGTATGCAACCGGATGTGACGTACTATGATTTGGTGGTATTACACCTAAAGAAGACTTTTTCGTTAAATAAACTGAATGTGACTTTTTTCCTTTGTAATACTGGTTATTTCAAGCATTCCTGTCAAGTTTTGTCATAATCAGTTCAATAGTTTGAGAAAAATCTAGTATAATGTAAAGACGACATCTACAGCTATTCGAGCAAAATTTCTTCGAAAAATCCAAACCAAGCCGCATCATAATAGAATATAGTGTGGACCAATAAATGATCAAATATTTATCTCATCTGCCTACAAACAGTTGAATATGATACAACAGATGACTTTAGGATGATAAATACTACTAATGGACCTCTTTGTCTTCCTTATAAGGTCTCTTTTGGTCCATTTATACCTCTCATTTCCTCAAAATTTCTACTTTTTAGGCCAATAAATAAAAAATTTGGGGTAACTTTCACTCATTTATGATAGAAATGTTATTATAAATGATTAATTGAAGTATTCAAGCTGAATGAACTATCCATATAAAAGTTTACTGTCTCCAAGGAGGTTTCAATAAGTCTTTACGTAAAACTTAAATTTACGCCGCGTTCCAGAGAGGGACACAAAAAAATTCTCTTTTGGTGAATAATTTGTTGTTACTGCTTTAAAAATAATTTCATTTACTTAAAACTATGTATTTATTAAAGTATTTCTTAGGAAAAATTTTCTAGTATAGCAGAATATAAGAAATAAGGAGAAAAAGCTCCCCAAGACTCTTAAGTATGGCTTGTTCTGTCAACTAATATTCATGGTAAAGTCTTATTTCAAGGAAATTTTCTCATAAAATGTATTTTGGAGACTCAATCCACTCAGAATATTTCATTATTTGTAATATTTTACTTAAATAGCAAGAAATTTTAACACATGAGAGTACACACAAGGTCAAAGGTGCATGTACAGCTTCCCATATTAGGTGTAATACCACCATTGATTTTCCCCTATTAGTCGTTGTTAAATTTGCACTTTCAAAAAATTGTGCAGAATTTATCTTTGTTTCAAATAAAGAAATACTTGGCATGAGTAAAGATTTATCCTGTCCAGTACTATAGAAAAAATTTCACATAACATTTCATTGCATATAAGAAAATAACCATCACTGGAAGTTAACCAATCAAATTTTTCCCCTTTTTTAACCTGTGTAAAAGCTTTAGTAACCATGTAACCTCAAGTTTCCAAAATATTCTATAGAAACCCCAAATAAAGAAATAATGGTGCTTTGAAATACCCAAGATATATATTTATGACTCAGAAATGTTTTACTGCAATGAAATGTAGGATCAATTACCTACAACTGTCAAATTCAAGGGAATATTTTTTTTCGACCGGATGTGACGTACTATGATTTGGTGGTATTACACCTTGAGAGGTGAACGTTGATGTACCTGTACTTATTACTGTGTAGTTTCAATAGCCAATCTATGTTGTTTTGAAGTATGTGTGAATACATTGCCTTCTTCGCAAAACTATTATTGCAGGCCTAGTATTAAAATTTGATGTGACGGCATGGTAATTAACATTATCATCCTTTACGACAGACAAAATAGCTGATCTGACAGGTACACCATTAACTTGCCACTATACATCGTGTGCTGTGTTACAACCCTGGATAAAGCCAACGAGTAAAGGCATTACATCGACCACAGATAGCTATATTTCATGCAGCCTAGGTGGTCGAGTGGTCTAGAGCGATGGATACGGTGCAGGTGGTGTTGCCACGATGCCACAGAAGCAAGGGTTCGAATTCCGTTGAGGAAGGAACAAAGATCTCACATTGTTCGGATAAATGTGAGACGAATAATATATCTATTATGGTGTTATCCCTGTATTTCCACGTGTTATCCGATGGAAAATGTCTGTCATAAAGTTGTCACATGTTTAGACGTGTAGATATCCGCCTTACTATTAGGAAATTGGTGATGTTTACGAAAAAGAGAATAATAGGTAAAAATATAAGGGAAAGATAAAAGCAGGGCAGATATGATGAAGAAAAGATAATAATGGGTGCTAAAATATTAAACAAATACTCAAATACTACACACCCAAAGAATACCAATTTGAAAACCCCCATCCAGACCCACTGACAACAAATTGTGCAGAAATTACACACAATGTAAAACTAAAATGATAAAGAAATGTTAAGCCCCTAAAAAATATTCAAATCACTCAGAAATCTATTTTTTACCATTTTGAAGCTTAAGGAGCTTGAATTTGTAGTAACGTTTGATATACCATGTACTAACACTATATAACTGTTACTTCGGTACTGGCATGAATATGCGGATATAGTGTCATAGAAATTTGCTGTTATAAATGTTTTTAAATTATTTTTTAATTAAGGAGTATACCTCCCTCATGCAAAGCTCTGATTTCTTGCAGGGATTTGTCTATACAATTTTTTTTCTTTTTTGGTGTTATCAGCGCTCCAACTTTCGAATAAGGTTCGATTTTCAAATATGTCAGCTTCGAGCATCACTGAAGAGACATTTATTGCCAAAATGCGCATCTGGTGCAATGAAATTGGTACCGTTTATGTTAATAATTATCTCTGTGAATGTAATTCCTACATATATAGTTTTTATGATATGTTTCAGAAGTGACACAAGCTTTACCAGTGGTCCTTTTAGTGGTAACAGACGGCTATATCTTTGTATGAAATTGACAAAAGTGACCAACGATTTATATTACTTTTACATTTTGTCAGGTATGTGACCTCACTTCTAAGTACTACTAGACGTATTAGGAAAGGGATTTAAATACTACGCTGATGTTAAATAACAATACCGGTACAAGATTTAAGTGTGGACATTCTCAAAATGCAATTGAATTGAAAAGTATTCCGGCGTAGTATAGTTTAGCTTTGTGGTGTGTTTGATACAATATGAAGTGAACGGTTAACGTCGACTCCAAATTTTTAGGCGTGCATTGGCCTTACGTAGATCTACATATATTTTTTTATATTTGTTTGATTGAGGAGTGCAGAACAAAACATTAAAAAAAATATATGTAAGGCTCAAGAATGGGAATGACGGATTTTATGTCCACAAGTCCAAATATAAACATTAAATGATATATGTAGAATATGTTTAATAGTCAAATAACTCAGTTTGCCTCTCCACAAGTCCAGCACACAATTCAACAATTTGGTTTGATTCATGTCTTAGATGACTATACAAAGTTTCGACAACTCTAAATGTTTTTAACGTCTGATGGCGTCTGAAGACATAATCTTGACATTCTGAAATTCTTCTATTTAGTTTTTTGCATTTTCTTTTTTCGTTTGCGGTTTTGTCTTATTTGGTGTCTCCTATATGGCGAAACAATTGGTGGAAGGTTTGCATAAATTTTATCACATAAATTAACACAGTTTGGAGGAAAATCCAATTCAAAGTTGGTGTCAATTCTTGGAAGAAGGTTGTCTTGCTGCGCATCGTTTTAATGTTCAAGAAAACCACTTTTTACGAGCCATGTGTGATTCGTATTGTCTACTTCTGTCTGGGTATGAATGCAATGAATGGACAAAAGGACGAAAGAACGGACGGATGGACCCATGCACCAATCACTATGTACCGTCCAATTTAGAAAGCGGAGTGTATAGTGAATATTAGGCAAAACAAAATGAAAAACATCGTAAAAAAATAGCCGACATATAATTTAACAGGCTTTGCAAGAGGTAAACATGAATATTCCATTTTATCGAATTTAATCGTTGTGTTCTGTTTTGTTGGTGGAGTAATCCGTGATACCAAGAAAAAAAAACTATCGACCCTTCACCGAAACGTAAATTTAACATGCTTGAATAATGATCAAATTGGTGTATGGAATGATTGTAAGGTGTACAAGTCTGTCTGGTAGGTATCTTCTGACCTTGACCTCATTTTCATGGTTCATTGGTCAATGTTAAGTTTTTGTGTTTTTGTCTGTTTTTCAAGTACTATAAGTAAAACGTCAACTATATGTTGTGTATGGATAGATTGTAAGTTGTACATGTCTGTCTGGCAAGTATCATCTGACCTTGACCTCATTTTCAAAGTTCATTGGTCAATGTTAAGTTTTTGTGTTTTTATCTGTTTTTCAAGTACTATAAGCAATAGATCAACTGTATTTGGTGTATTGAATGATTTTAATGTGTACATGTCTGTCTGGAAGGTATCATCTGCCCTTGACCTCATTTTTATGGTTCAATAGTCAATGTTAAGTTTTAGTGTTTTGGTATGTTTTTCAAAAACTAATAGCAATAGGTCAGCTATATTTGTGTATGGAATAATTGTAAGGTGCACATGTCTGTCTTGCAGGTATAATCTGACCTTGACTTCATTTTCATGGTTTATTGGTCAATGTTAAGTTTTTGTGTTTTGGTCTGTTTTTCAATTAGCATACGCAATAGGTCAACTATATTTGGTGTATAAAAAAATTGTATTATATGTCTGTCTGGCACAGTTTATGTGATCTTGACCTCATTGTCATAGATTTTTAATAGTGCTAAGTTTCTGTAATGCTTTTAGTAAAACCTTTATCTTTAAGACTTTCAACATAAAATCAATGGTCAGTAAAGCAGGCGAGACATTTCAGCGTGTGCACTCTTGTTTAGGTATTGTCCCTTTTCAGCTATACATCAAATTGCCAGAATGACCTTTCTAGATAAAATAAAAAGGTAACGATAATAAAATTGAGTATGCCTCTGTTTCATTCTTTTTTTTTTTTTAATTGTCAAGTACACATATTTCTAGTTTTTTTATTAGAATTTTTAGCTACACATTTCTCTATTGAAAATGATATCAAATAAGGAAATGTGGAATGATTGTTAAAGTAGACAACTATCTTACAGAGACCAAATAACGTAAATGTGTACAACTATAGGTCACCGTATGGCCCCCAACAAGGAGCAAAACCTATCCCACACAAAAGCTATAAAAGGCACTGACATGAAAAGTATATTTCAAATAATTTTCAAATAAAAGAACATTTTGAACATTCATCAGTTTTTCGGACCGTTTGATTATAAAGTAAAATGCTTTTTTTCTTTCAAGATATTTTCCCTAACGTCACTCCGAAGGAGAGAGTGTATGCGTCAAAAGAAGGAAACGCCCCAGATGATGATGCACCGATGTGTAGTACGTTTTGTCAATACACAGGCTCACCGAAAATTCGCACATTAATAAGACAAGGTAAAATATATTTATATATATATATATGATATAAAAAAAAGAGGGAAACGGTACAAAGAGGCCATTCAAATTTCAAAGGAAAACTGAAATCACCTTGACAAAAATACGAGACAATTAGAACCAAAGACAATAAATCCGATAAAAAAATAAATACAAAACTAAACACTGAGCAACCGGAATACCACCAAAAACCGAAGTCAATTTCAGGTTGTCCGGAAGGGTAAGTATGTTTTTATGCCAGCTTGACTGTGTAGATTTTAATCCAACCTATGATAGTAAGGGCGTTATTTTTCGGTCTGTGTGTTCTGTAATTTTAAAGGAATTTTACAGAGGAGTTGCAATCATATTAACCTCAAACCCTCTAAAGATGTCAAGTATTGTGTGAACTATTTCGAATATATCCAGAATTGGGATGTAGACTCATATGTTGCCGTGCTATAAATAAGGAATAGTTATAGTGCGAGCTGAGCGTTGTGCACAATTAATATCTATTAAAGTTCTCTTGTTTTAATTTGACGACTTATCGTCTATTCATCATTGAACACAATTTACAACTTCCCGTCCAATCTTATTGCTTGAATTTATCTTCTGAGTTTCAAAGTACATACTTTTCTCGTGAACTTAGTAACAATAGAAAAATCAAGAATATGGAATATACATCCATGACACAAAATCAGTATATGCACAGCATAATACACACAAAAAGCAAAGCAACAGCGCTTGTATTGCTGTTCTCCATCTCCATCTCAAATTCACAATAAAGCCTTCAACACAGAACAAAAACAAATCACCTCGCTGCAAGTTGAAGACGACCCAAGCACCGGTTATTTACTAATAAAAAGCTTTGGTTTCAAAATTATTTTTTTTTAAACAAGTTACAATCATAAAAATAAAGAATTCGAAATATTTTTCGTCATACCTTCATCTCAGAGTACGATGCGATCTTATTATTGTTGTCATTCATCATCCATGCAGTTACTTTCTTTACAAAAAACATATAACATAAAATGTTGTTAAGGGAACTTAAATCAATTTGATTGGACAAGGATTTGTAATATATACTTCAGAAAGAACAATGTCACATAAAAGGAGATTGGTGATCAAATTTTTCTAAAACGTTCTTAAGAAACTTGATCCATTTCATCATGAATTGAAAGATATTGATAACGTCTAATTGAAACTTATAATTAATATATTTAAAGTTGCTTTTGTAAATGTTTGTCAGCTAGACTACTATCTATGGGACTTATTTATCTAAGTTTTGATTTTAGTTTCATTGCAAAATATGTTGTATTTATTCATCATGTTCATAACATGTAGAACGCCCAATGGCACTAAATTATTATGTATCACTTTTAAATGTGTGCGTCCGAATAGCTTTTCTTGATTTACCTTCATATGGACCGCTCAAACCCAAATATTTGAAAGGCAAGGAAGCAGCAGATCTTAAGGAAGTTCGCTACTCAGTTTCAAAATGACAAGCTTTTCATAACACTAGAATATATTGATAGGGGTCTAACAAAGGAACCAAAAGAGCGAGAAAAAAAAAAGGTCCGTGTGCTTGTTTTTGAGATATTAGCCATTGAAATTTTGGCGGGAAAATGTTCTCTCTTGATTTTTCATAGCTTTATCATTGACAAGTTTAAGTTCTCAAAAACTATTAAAAAATGACAAAGATTTTATAAGACTTTTACAGATGCCATATATTTATACATGTTAAAGATTTATAAAAAGAAAAATGGGGTTAGTGGGCATTTAAATGGATAAACCCAGAGGATTCCGAAAATCTGACAAAATTCCAAAACATGACAAGCGAACATCCTTAACATATGACCTGTGAGCTAAATGTATTAAAAGGCAGCCACAAAATTTACTATCTGTACATGTACCTGCTGTTGGGCAATTTATTTTGTCATCTTGTCATGCAAATATAAGTAGATATATCTTTATCTCAGTATAAATAATTTCATCAGCAGCTATCTTCTGTACATTCTGGAGTTAAGGCCATTTGAAACCACCAATTGTTACGTTTGATTTGAAATATAAACCGTCAGGTTTAAAGTTCATGTTTGCAGCGTTTCTAAACTCAAGATATTGTATGGAATCACAGGAAAAGTTCAATGTAGGATAAATGAACTTGATTTACATATTTTTTTCCTGGAAACATCCACCCTCCCTCTTCCCCGTGTAACTTAAATTTGGAAAATATTTATTGATGGCAAAGTGTCTTAATTCCTTCTGTATTAATTTTGAGCCTACCTGACTAGAAATATTAGTGTGAATATGCTAATGCATCAAAAATAATACTTTCACTGTGAAATACTTGTTACATACACTATATTCAGTGTTGAATCTGCATTTTCTATATTCCCATGGGCTATGCATAGAGTTTGGATGTTGTTATTGTTATAAATGATTTTTTTTGTATTATATTAACGGTACCAAATTAACTGCACAAGATGCAAATTTAGAAATAAAATATCTCTCCAGTAATGCTCTAGGCCAAATGCTAATACAAACATTGAAGAGCTGATAAAACCAAAAAGAACCATGAGCAAAGCAAAGCCAGGACAAGAAATCAGAGTTATGCGTTAAATGAATAAATGCATTGTTTAACATGTTTAATAGATATGTAGCTTAAAACTTGATACGTGACCCATTAGTATTGTCAAATATTTATATGAGTGGGCTGTGCAATTGTGCCTTTGATATAAAAATATAAAATCCATAATGATTGTAGTGTACATGAAAAGATCTCTGTAATTTCAAATCTAGATCCTATATTACATTTCTCATCCGTCCTCAATAAATCTATATGACTTAATTTTTCATTCAACATATTCATTTTCATTCATGTAAACAAATGTGGGTTTACCTGTATTATGTTACACTAAAATTGACAATGTCAATTTAAATATAATTTTAATGACATAGATACCATAATACACCTAGTTTTTCAATATTTTCCGTATTTAATGCTCTTCTTATTCGTATATGATTTGGCTTTCAAACTGTTAGAGCACTATCCGATGAGTCTTATATTAACGAATCTCGAATCTGGTGTACAAAATTATAGGACTGGTTTCTTCGATGAGATTTTCACTACTACATACTAGTTGATAAATTTACCAATTTTGCTGTTAACCTAACATTAGTTATATGAAACTCGCCATTAAGCTGTTTATTTCCGCCGTCAGGACGCAAATTGTTTGCATTGAAACTACATACCTTTCGAAATGATTTAATAAAGCAGATGGTATTTAGATCAAAAACGTAATTAAAGACAAATCATATGTGGAAAATAAAATGAGCATATCAACTGACGACTAATATGTGCATCTTATATTATTACAATAACTTTTTTCTTTAAAGGAACTAGTGACGAAATACCTGGTGATGCAGCATTATGTGAACCATGTGACAGCACATGTGAAGTGGGTGTGTATATTTATAAAATGCGTAACCTTAATTGATTGGCAGTAAATCTAACACCTGACCTTCCAAAATATAGGCAATTATTGTGCCATAACATCATTATTTTCTCGTTTTTGTTCAGGTATTTTTATATTTTCTTAGTCTTATATTTATATTTTTTTCAAGTGGACATTTTCATTGTTTTAAATTGCTTCTTAGTAAAATAAAATATATTCGTTTGTCAGTTATATAGCTGTTTTAGGTTTCTTTGTGGTGTTTTTTTTTTTTTTTTATTTATTTCCATTTGTTTATCTTTTTATCCACTAATGTTGGTTTTCCTGATTGAATTGTTTTACACTAGTCTTTGTGGGGCCCTTTATAGCTTGCTGTTTGGTGTGAGACAAGGCTCCGTGTTGAAGTCCGTACTTTGACCTATAATTGTGTACATTTTACACATTGTGACTTGGATTAATAGTTGTCTCATGGGCACTCATATCACATCTTCTTATTTATATTCCCCTATTAAAATGGCATTCATTTGAATAATTAATATATTTCTAAAATTTATCATTTTTATATACAAACGTATGATACTCATGAACAAATGTGTTGCAAGAAAATGAATAAAACATAAATGAGCTCTGAATGAAAGAGGGCCGTAACTGCCCGGAGGAGTTGTAACCTTAACTTGGCTGCAATTACGTAACGCATTAGCATTTTTTTTATAACAGAATAATTTCATTCAGTCATCACCGACGAACTAGTTATTGTCGGATGGTATCATCGGATATGATATTCAAAAGCATCGCCAACGAGCATATATTAGAATTAAACTTTCTTCACCTGGGAGTAACTCTAGAAAAACCTTAATCTTGTAGACAAAAATATTAAAATATATAAAAAGTTAGAGAGAATATTTTTAAACCATAAGCACATACATGTAAACCGACCGGAAAAAGATCCTTTTGTCGGATTTGAAAGGTTGGTTGGAAGAAATGCTATGTTCAACATGTATAAGTTCGTTATTAGTTTTTGAACATTCAAGTCAAACTGGTGGAATTTTCATGAAATATTGTTTTAATGCGTCTTTTGCATGAACTTGACAATAGCCGTGACAGAGAAATTAAACTTGTACAAAACACAATTGTAAGTTATATATGTGACTCTAACTCATTGAAGAAGAACTAATAAAATTTATTTGATAGTATATTTCTTATAATGTCTTTTATAGACACACACACATTGTTCCTAATCAATCAAGCGTGTACATATTTTAATTCGATGTCATTATTAGACGTCGGGACATGCGACATTTGTCATACATATTTTATTCCTAACATAAGTTTCGGTTAAAATGAGCGATGAGACGTGATTTTAATTTGTGTCTCCCCCTTTTTCCCGAAAATAAATATTTATATAATAAAAAACATTAAGATCATGTAAATGAATTTTAGTTTAAAACGGTCATTTTGATCTAACAGGATTTGAAAAGTATAAACAATAAATTATTCAGTAATGACCAGCATTTTATTCAATATCAGACTTTGCGGTATGGGCTTTGCTCATTGTTGAAGGCCGTACGGTGACCAATATTTGTTAATTTCTGTGTCATTTGGTCTCTGGATGAGAGTTGTCTCATTTGCAATCATACCACATCTTCTTATTTTTATATTATCCACTGTGGTATTTAGTAGGATGTTGATGTGTACAGGTGAATAGCAGCTATTGACCAGATGGACTGCAAGCGAATTGCCTGAAAAGTATGATATTTGCCGCAGTGGATAAGTTTGAAAATTAACAGAAAAACTGAAAATGACATAATAATTTATTATTTAGTCTTTTAGAGCTATTCAAATAAAAATGACGCTTCAGATAAAACTTGTTTTACTAGTGATTAATTCATTATATGTGTGTATGACATTGTCAGTTGCTTTTCGACTTATGAGTATGATTATAGTCAGCCTAACTTTTGTTAGAAAGATATATAGGTGAGATACCTAAGTGAAGTATTCGTTACTTCATTAGTACCGACGTCCTTATGAGTTTCTGTTTTAATTATATCTCTTTAACACAAGTAAGGCTTCGGCGGTCGAGTAGTCTAAGTTGCTCGTCTTCAGTAATCACTCTCATGTTAACATTGATATTGTGAGCTCGTGGCAAGAACGTTCGATCTCTATCTTAGTTAACACGGATAGCTAGTAGTTCTGTCGAAGGTTAGTGGTTATCTCCAGGTACTCAAGCATCTTCCGCTAAAATAACATGAAAACTAGGCGCTACGATTTATCCAATTGTGCAAAATGGCGCTTATCACCAGCCAATAAATCAATATTTTACCAAAGTCATTATATGAAACATTCATATATATCATATATTTTTTTTATTTTAAAATAATGTGTCTTTATAGATAGATGCGATCCAAACCCATGTCAGAATAATGGAAGTTGCAAGGATTTCAAAGACGGATACAACTGCAAATGTACTTCTGGTTGGAAAGGAGAAAATTGTACCACGGGTAAAATATTGTAAAAATATTTTCACGCCTTAGTACTGTGTAACATACGTACACATCTATTCAAGAATTCGGTTTTAAACATTAGGCATTATTTTTTTTATAATTAATATGTAATCCATGCTGAGGATGTATGGATTACGCTTAGAACCAATAAATGACAATGTGCTATTTAATTCGAATTCTGAACTAAAGAGAGACCATGGTCGAGCAAGCAATAACGTTTGGATCTCGAACTGGTGTTCATGTAATCCAACTTCAAATGTGTTTGTAAAAGACACGAGACGCGTGACAGACATATCAAATCATATGCCTTGAATCTTTGAAGAGGTTTTACTTTTATTGCAAACTTTAAATGTTCATCACAGCAAGACTGTCTGATTAACTAATTTCATGAGAATATATACCAATGAGGTTCAATTGCATAGAGATTATATGACTATTAGTAAAATTATATTTGAAAAATATGTACTTATAATATTTTTTTTTAATTATTTTGAATGGTTTTAACAACTACACATATAATTAATATGTCAATAGTATGTTTGATATTTAGGAATATATATATATAAGGGACCTGCCTTTTCTATGAAATATATTTATGGGTAGGGATTCTTTAATAAGTCAATTTATAAATTGGGCTGATTTTGAAACCCAAGTCAGACGTCAGACGTCCGTACCCATGTTTCCTCTACAAAATAACCAAACACAAAAACTGACTTGATTTTGATACTGCAAAGCACTCCGTACCTTGTTGGAAAGTGTAAACTTGTTTAGTTACGTGTGTGTTTTGTTTTTTTTTTTTTTTTTTGGTTGAAAATCTATAAAAATTGTCTTTTAAACTTTACCAAATGAAATAATGTCTAAAATTGTATATTTGTATCTTTTACCTACCAGATGGAAAAAAACTATTGCGCCCATCAGAGTTTTTTCAAGCATAACTGTAGAAAATAAACATATTCAGAAAAAATTGTCATCTGAACAGAAATCAATGTGACACGCTTTGTTTTCTACATTGGTTTCGAAGCTGATGAACTGGATTAACGAGAAAAAGTCAGTTTTCCGTATCGTTATCATTTACATTATCAGACTTGATTAAATGAATTAAGTTGACAGGTCATAAATTAAACTAAGTTTTCAACTCAATGTTGACCTTTCTTTGGCCATTTTTTGTTTTGAAGCTCTTATAGGTTATATGTTGTTGGGTTTTATTTTATTGTTGCTTGCTTTACATTCGTGTGTTTGATTGTTTTGTTATTTGTCTTGCCTTACGATCGTCCGGTTTTATCTTTTACGGGGCTGTCGATAATCTTTGGAAATATATAACGAACATATCTGTTACTTCGTTGTTTAGTAGTCATTGTTTGTACGCCACACGTATATTTTTCCCGTATAAGTTTACACCACGATTTCAGGAACAATATTGATTCAAATTGATATACATTTCTAGAAATAATAATATGAATCGAATGAGAGGAAAATGTCAACAAGATAGTACCCGAACACAACTTTAAGACCAAAAAGCAATCGTGCTCAGTAAAACAAAATCCTCTCTACTAAACGCAGCTTGTAAATCTATCAGCGGAACATATAAAATTAGAATATAAAGACCACATACTGCATCCCATGTATGTGGTGCTTTCATATTTAAATAACAAAGAACGTACTAGCTTATAGTAAAAAAGGTACACAAATAATGGACTCCAAGGCAAATTGAAAAGGGGGAAGTCCATAAAAACTGACAAAATCAAATGCTATCAATCGACGAAACAAGTTTCAACAGGTCAAATTAACAAGAAAGTACGATTTGAGAGTACTCGCAGTTACTGAAAGCTAGTTAAAAGCCAAAAACAATTAATAATAAAAAATCATGCATCAGAGACTAAAATCAATTAAAACACATTCAAGGGATTTAGTGTTTTAACGCATTGGACAGTCAAAGAAGCCATGACTTGTGCAATGCCAAAATAAAAGTATCGACAGACAGTAGGATAGTTAGGATTTAACCTAATAATAAATATGTATCATGTTATATATAGATAAAGCAATCTCTATACAGAAAATAAACGTGGATGTTTATTTAAACATCCCCAAAAACCAGTCGAAAAGAATACAAATTTAGTTATGTTTTAATTTGTTGATGACAAAATCGATGTTAGTGCCAATGTAAACAATATTCAAAAATCTTATTACAACATTAATAAGATAACCTTTACTAATAAGTTTGTTTAAAGGTTCGATGAGTTAACACGGATCACATAGTGATTTCCGTGCTTTTAGTACAATATTACCATAAAATTTAGGATGTGAAATATCATTTTTAATAAGTTTTCCACAGGTACAGTCAAATTTAAGAATCACATCTTCATATCTATGAAAGAATGTAGTAAATGTTTTAAGTAATTAGTGGTAACAAAATCCCTGACTTAATAATTTACCAGTGATTCTTTAAAATCTATGACGTCACTACACACACGGGCATAACGAACAATGTATGCCTATTTTTATATTTTCAACCCGTTAGATTACTCTCTTAGAAGTCACGCAGCTTATACCTTTTTGAATCATCATAAGCCTTACCCGACCTCCAAGATCTATATGTACATTTTTTTTATAATATTTGACAACATTTTTGCAAAATCTTGATTTCTTGAACAAAAGCACTTACAATGGGTATTTTCTATTGAAATTGAATATGTTTTAGCATGTCATAATTTTTTTACGACGTGATATTGTTTAGTTTTTGTTAAATTTTTTTTACGTAATAAAGCTACCATCCGTCTATTAAAAGCAGTATTCTTTAACTTCACTTTCCGCGATGTAGATGTTCTCTCATTAAATAAATTAAAAGTTGGTGACTATGTTGAACGCATCTATCCCATCGAACTTGAGATAAAGGATACAACAGATACAGATAAGTAAGCATCATATCTTGACTCATCTATAGCAATTGACCATGAGGGTCGGTTGAAAATAAAACTTTTCGACAAAATATATGATTTCAGCTTCCAAATTGTGAACTTTCAATTTCTATGTAGCAACATTCCAGCAGCGCCTGTATACGGAGTATATATCTCCCAGTTGATACGATATTCCAGGGCTTGTATTCCCTATCATTATTTCCTTGATAGAGGGTTGCTGCTCACAAGGAAGCTATTAAACCAAGAGTTCCAAGCGATGAAGTTGAAGTCATCCCTTCGTGAGTTTTACGGACGCCATCACGAATTACGAAGATGACGATTGATATGTTCCAATTGTCGTAACTAATACCTCGTCCACTTTCCCTTATGTTGCTTACCGAGTTAGACATATCACCAGGTTTGTAATTGCATGAGCAAAACGACGGGTGTCACATGTGGAGCAGGATCTACTTTCCATTCCGGAGCACCTGAGATCACCACAGTTTTGGTGGGGTTCGTTTTGCTCAGTCTTTGGTTTTATATGTTGTGTTTTGTGTACTGTTGTTTGTCTGGTTGTCTTTTTCTTTTTTAGCCAGGGCGTTGTCAGTTTTCTTTTCGACATATCAGTATGAATGTCCCTTTGGCATCCTTCGCCTCTCTTTTTACGCATCAAATATGAATCCGTTACAATTTAATTCCACTAGATACAAATGTCGACAATGTATGTTTATTTTGTGATTCTCGGAGACAACCTAATCAAAATTTTTAACATTCTCACAATATTTGACGAGCTGATATTACCGAAATACGCCCAAAATATGGCTTATTCCGGACAAAAGAACAAACTCTGCTCATGACGGAGATACATGCAGCAATTTTTCTATTGTTTTATTTCGGCAATTTTCAAAACAATATCCATATGAAACGTTTTATTGCTAACGCCACCTGATTATAAATACAATGTAGAGGGTCTGGATGGAAGTTCTTCTTTTAATAGATATTGCAATATTCCCGATTTCTCTACATTTAAGCACATTTGTCTTTATTTTTTTTATTTTTTTTTTTTGGCCCATTATTTTGATTTATGTAAACCCCATCAAGACCTTGGTGTATGTTTTTTCACCAAGTTCGCTCGAAAATCTAGAAGGAAATGTATATCAACCATTTGCATCCATTTGAACCAAGACCAAAACAGTACATCCTATATTGGTTTATGTCGAGTGAGCTTGAACGAGGTACACACTATCTATTTTTACTTAGATATGTCGATTGTTGCTGATGTTACGAATTCTGAAATAGAAGATTTTTAATCCTGCATTATTCATCGAAATTATGGTATTTTATCGCTTACAATGTAATTAAATCAATTTTGATAACTTTATCTATATTAGATAACGTAGCTGCAAATCGAATTATATATATTGAAACTGAAACAAAAACAACAATGAATATTTTTAATTTTCGTCCTTAGTCTTTTAAGAATCACTTGTTAGAATATACAAAATACACAGTCAGATATCTAAAATCTATAAGAACAAAACTGAAAATGGACCATGCAATCATGTATATATACACAATGAACATATAATTCATGGTCAAAGTAAAGAACATCTAAATACCTGAAATATACAAGCTATCAATTAAAACAGTGAAAAACTAGTCAGCCTAAAATGAAAAGCATACATAACAAGAATTAGACAAACAATACTATATCACTGCAGGTTTCGCATCTGCTCAATTATTAACAGGTGTCCTTATATCGGTACTTTTTGTCAAAGCCCCCGTTGTCATTGTAAGCCTTTTTTCAAACATATATAAATATTGTTTCCGAACTTTGAATTTTGACAAAAGATCAATTCCTTTGATGGACAGACTACAAATATCGCTAACGGAGTATTTTTTTTTTTTTATATTTTACGAAGGTTTATCTGTTAACAACAATTTTCCATCCCTATTTAACATATTTGCAAAATTATAACAAGAACCTGCAAAAAATACATTGTTTCCGCCCTTAGCCTTGTTTAGGCCGGGGACAAGCTTGGCCTAAGATAGAGTTGTTTCCCTTTGGCAAACTCTTTAAATAAAAACAATTTCGGTAGTAAAAAAATTTCTTATGAACGACATTGGTTCTATCGAACCAAATCAGGATAGTTAAAAACCAATCAATTGCATAAAATAAACTTTTTTTCATTCTAACCAAAGGGTCAAGTTTGAAAATGACCATCATGCTGTTTTTTGCGGTTTTATTTATATTGTATTGATTGTACTAGGTGTTTGGGAATGGTAATCATTTTCGGCTCGAAATGGTTGATCAGTAAAATGTTTCGTTTGATTCTATGATCACTATATTATACTACACTATGCATCTGTCATGTTTGTTTTTCGTAAATTGATTTTTTTTTTAATTAGTTCGTTTGTTTTCTCTTTTAAATTGTTTCACATTTTTTATGTCTGGACCTTTTACAACAGACTATATGATATGGGTTTCTAGTTTTTGAAAGCCGCTGACCTATAATTGCTTAAATCTACATCATTTGAACGCTGATGGATAGTTGTCTTATACACAATCATACTACTGTATATTTCGGAGTTGAGTGTGGCGTTCATTTTGCTGAACTAGTACAAGTATACATTATTGTTTGGGGGGCAGATGAAGCAAGCCTCCGGGTGAGGATTTTTCTCGCTGCATTGAAGAAGCATTGGTAGCCTTGGGCTGTTTTCTGCACTTTGGTTGGGTTGTTGTCTCCTTGACAATTTCCCAGTTTCGAGTCTCGATTTGACATCTCCTGATGTCCTTATACCGATATATTTGATGATATTACGTACACGTTACAGTTATGACTCTCTATTGAATAAAACTTCATTTCTTTTACAGCGAAAACATCTTCCTCAGTCGGGTGGATAGTAGTAGTTGTATCAGGAGTGACTGTCGTAGTTGTAGCTGTAGTTGTGTTGGTAATAATTGTGGTGGTATTGAGAAAAAGAAGGTAATTTTACAACGCGTACAATAATACCTCTTCACGTTTAATGTCTTGACACCGATTTACACACCTCAACTGATTCCTCTTGCACTGATTTAAAGTCGGTTGATAGTTGTTTCATTACAATTGTAAAATTGAGAATGGGAATTGGGAACGAGTTAAAGAAACAACAACCCGACCAAAGAGCAGAAAACAGCCAATGGGTCTTCAACACAGCGAGAAAATCCCGCACCCGGAGGTGGGATTTAGCCGGCCCCTAAATAAACAAATGTACTAGTTCAGTGAAAATGGACGTCATACTAAACTCCAAAACATATAAATGAACTAAATTAAAAAAACATACAAGACCTACCCCTATACCTCTAGTCAATGTAGAATAAACAAACACAGAGCAATACGCGCAGTAAAATTCAGTTTAAAAGAAGTCTGAGTCCGATGTCAGAATAGGTAACAAAATGACAATGATACATAAATTAACAAAGGACTACTAGCAGTTACTGACATGCCAGCTCCAGACTTCAATCAAACTGATTGAAAGATTATGTCTTCATCATATGAACATCAACCACAATCCCTCCCGTTAGGGGTTTAGTATCATACCATCATAAAATATATGAGAAGAACATAACCCGTATCATGCCAACAATTGGTTTTAGAACAAATGTGTTTATTTCATATTCAACAACCCTATGAGTGAATCAATATTAATACCAAAATATGTCATCTTCAATGACCTGACAACAGTATCGTAGCTATATCCCTTCTGAATAAGTCTGTTTAAAGATTTGGTTAGCTATTGAAATGAATGCCGACATTTTGTGCTTTGTAAAGAATATTACCAAAAATGATTGTATGTGAAATACCTGAACGTATAAGATGTCTGCATGTTGATTTATATTTACGAATAATGTCCTTGTACCGATGATAAAATTTAGTAAATGTTTTGACTAGTTTGTGATGTCGAGAACCCTGGTTTAATAATTTTTAAGTAATACAGAGATTTCTTTCGCTAAAATCAAATGCGTTGTTACATACACGAGCGAATTGAACAAGTTGAGATATATTAACACCATAAGATGGTGACAAGGGAACGTCACCATCTAAAAATGGATAATTAACAATAGGAAATGAAAAATCATCTCTTTTATCATAAATTTTGGTATTAAGCTTTTAAGCTTCCCGTTAAAGATATAAATATCAAGATCCAGGAAAGGGCAGTTTTCATTGTTAGTATTAGCTTTATATAAAGTCAAATCGGCAGGATAAATCTCTTTAGTGTACATACTGAAGTCGTCATTATTGAGAGCCAATATATCATCCAAATATCTAAAAGTGTTATTAAATTTTTGTTGTTTCGATGGATCTTTGCTGATTTTAGTCATAAATTGTAACTCATAACAATACAGAAACAGGTCCGCAATAAGTGGTGCACAGTTAGTCCCCATTGGAATTCCGATAACTTGACGATATACAGAATCTCCATAGCGAACAAAAATGTTATCTAGTAAAAATTCAAGGGCAGTTATAGTATCAATGCAGGTCCAATTGACATAGTTCTTTTCTTTTTTTTTTTGTTACTAAAAAGTTACCTAAAAGAGTTTGAACATATATATTCACATTCTGACTTTTTAAATGCCCATTTAATTAGGTGTGTGAATTTTTTCTTAATAAGATTATGAGGCAAAGTGGTATATATCGTAGAAAAATCAAAACTTTGAATTATTAAGTAAGTAAAATAGACAGTTTAGTAGTGGAACAATGGCTTGAAGACGAAATCAATATATATTTGTAAGGTGTTTTGTGCAGCTTCGGAAGCCAGTACATAGTTGGAACTTTCATTGTATTTGGTGCTGCTTGTAAAGAGGTAGCTAAAAGTTTAGGTTTGTTACAGATGTCATTTTCCGAATATGGAGTCAGTTGGAATGTAGGTGAATTCGTGATTTCCTTTTGCAGAACCTCAATGTAAAATTTACCTCAAACAATAATGATATTATTAGCAGCCTTATCAGCCGGGACAAAAACAAATTCCTTGGCGAGTTCTTTTAACTTATGTTTGATACGAGAAATAGGGCTATTACGGTTGTTGTTAGGAGTAAAATGTTCTTTAAAACGTTGTATACGTATATCAACTATGGTCATTGCTAAATTAAAAAAAGAATCTAAGGATTTCTTGTCAGCTTTTTCGTATTTTATCCCATTTCGGGCAGTAAGTACGGAGTTAGTCGTAGATGATGTTACGACACTCAATCCAATAAATAATTGGCGGGGGACGATATTTAGGTCCTTTACTGAGGAATGATTTCAACTCTCAGTCACGAACGATGTTAAGGTCTCCTGTTGTAACATGGGAACTGGGGCCATAAATGTATTCGGAATTACTGCAATTTCATGACGTAGGTGTATTGTCACTGATATTTACATCTTTACACACTTCGCTATAATTAAACACATATTTCCGGGTATATTTTTTGTTAACATAAGAAATAAGAGGGAGTTCAGTATTATCAAAATAACCAGGAATTTGTTCTTTAACAGAATGTTCATTAAAAATACCAGTAATATTTACAAAATCAAAACCTTAATTGACATATTTGATATTAATAAAATGTTTTTTGTTATCTTCAGGGCGATCAATTTTCGGACACAGTTTAGAATAACAATATGCAATTATAATTTGGACGATTTCATACTTAGGACTGCAATATGGAATTGTGTTGCAATCCTCTAAAATTCGATGTAATTTATTAACAGGTAAAGAACAGAGCTTGGTTTACAGATAATGTCTGAACCAGCTCGTTGGTTTCGTGGTAGTGTGACTTTAAATTTATCTCTGAAAGAGCCATCGAATATTATACTACATCTCCTTGTGTTAATATACCGATATATTTTATTCTATTACGTACATAATACATTTATGGCTCTCTATTATATATAGAAATGCATCTTCATCAGTCGGGTGGATAGTAGCACATCTTTCGATTTATCATTATTCATTAACACTATACAAATAATGTGGTGTTGTAAAATATAGAATAATACATTCCTGAAATGTAAAGAGTAGACAATGATATGCAAGAAATAAAAAATACAGAAATATGGCTTAAATCTTAAGAGTAAGGAAATGAATACACCATACCCAGACTCTCGTGATTGTTAAAAAGACAACTATTAAATGCATATATGTACCACCAGATTATATAACTGATTGAAAAACAATGTGTATGTTACTGTATAATATTGCTAGAACATTCGCGGTGTTTGTTTGCGAACCATTTATTCCTAGTGAGTGATTTTGTATCATTCTTTTCATGTTGTACATAACATGTTGTCTTTGGTCAAGTTGATAATAGAATCATTATAGATACTAGGATTGAAATTTTGTACGCCAGACGTGCGTTTCGTCTACAAACGACTCATCAGTGACGCTTGATTAAAAAAAAATTAAAAAGTAGTGTTGATATTTATTTTGTGGTATTTGATCAATAAGATATTCATCACTTCACATACTTTATGAAGTTCAACCAAACAGCATCTCAACAAGTTTTCTTGTCTCGTTTACATTTTTCTAAGTTAATAGTTTTTAAAAATTGGTATATTCAAATACTTTATAAGTTGACCATCAAAATTATATAAACTTCAATATTCAATATTTTGTGGTTAGACTTTCGGTTATTAATTAAAACTTTGTTCTAAAACATTTTTGCTCTAAGACTACATAAAATATAGTTTTACTAATATATAGCTTTCTGTTCCCTCAATTAAAGTATACTTCACGGTTGATGCACAGAAGTTATGATATTTTAGTTAAATGATCACATGTTCTATAATTAACATGTATTACAGAGCCGGAATCTTTATATTCTACTGTCAAATATAATATTTTTAAAAAATCATCGATACATGTGTAATTAAAAAGTGAGTATTTATGTATTTCTTAACATTTCAGCTGATACTAAAGTAAAATATAATGCATGTTTTCCTAAGCTCAAAAAAGAATCAGGTCATGATCCCACTACCAGCATGAGAACGCGATCGTGTATCCCGGAATCCGTGGAAAACCTTACATATCAGTCTTTTATTTCTTTCTGTTTCTAAATGTACCGCCATTTAATACAAAGCCCCTCTGTTATTGAATGAAATAAGTAAATAGTAAACAAATTATCAACAAATTTAGCTATGTTGTCGTTAATCTAGACGGCAAATACATGTTGATTGAATAAAAACGTCAGTTCAAAACATGATTATGATATGTAACTAAAAAATGTTAAACATGCCCAATACTTTTTCAATATTTTTTTTAATTATTCAAATATGAGCACATCTCATATACATCTTTAAGTAGTCAGTTTTGATTAGTGAAAAATGAAAATGTCAAGGTTTAACATACATGTACCTATAAAAGCCTTAAAGGAATAGTGACACTTATTTGGGTTGATTTCTAAGAAGAAACACTTTTTAGACATTTTTGATTTAAAAGTACCGCACAGATGCTCTATCTTTCTAAATTTCAAACGTTGCCAGAAACAAAGGGGAGAAGATACCAATGAGAAAATTAGAAACCAGACAACACCATTGTCAAAATTCATTAAAACAGACAACATTCGACAACATACTACACGGAAAAATAGCAGATTCAGCAACACGAACTCAATCTATGCCATGGGAGGTCCAAAAGCTCTGAAAGGTTAAGCAAGTCCTGCTTCATTAGTGACACCAGTGATACATTAACGTAACTTTCATATATATTGCAGAAAATCAACATTTGGAGTGACCAAGAGGAATATCAACACTAGTTCAGATGATCATAAAAACGGGGAAAATGAACTTAAGGAAGTAGAACAAAAGCTTGTTGCAAAGACGTAAATCGGTGAAATCGAAAAAATCACATGGACAAGACACTAATACCCTGTTTGTTGAACTAGAACTAGTAGATAAGCATCATGAATCTAACTGTGATACTGTTGAAACAGAAGCAAACGAGCAACATCCTGTTATTGATAGACAGTCTGCAGCAAAGGAAACAGTGAACAACAATGCATAAAACCTAACATATTTAATTCCTAACAAGTCAATTGTAATTATAAAAAGTTACTGTCATTTGTATAGAACATCTCCATGTCTGTTAGTGTATCAGCATATTCCCGCTTAGAATGTAGCAAAATAAAATAACAAAAGAAGATGCGGATATATGTCAATGATAAAGCAACCAAACTGCACAAAACGGTCTTCCCTTTGTATAGTTTAGTTGATTAATTGTTAACTGTATCGGCAGACCTAAAATGTTCAAGATGATACGTATCCCAAAAACTAACTTATTTTGAAAGGTGGTTGTATTTGGACTTCTCTAGGCCGACTGTAAACCTCTTGATATTGTGCCGTCAGCTTTGCTGTATGGAATGTCAACTAACGCCTGCGCCTCCGGGTAGAATGAGGACGAAATATTCGATTTTCAGAGATAAATTCAAAGTCACACTACCACGACACCAACGAGCTGGTTCAGGGTAAAAAGATATCAATGGCCAAACAATGAAGAAAAACATAGTATGACAACAAATTGGTACAAAACAACATAAATCAACTGTCGAAATATTTTACAACGAGAACACCCTTAATGCTTGTGTGGTCAAGTTAAGTGAGGACAGCGTCCAAATTTGATTTGATCTGTTCAGTATTAATCACGACAATTAAAAATCAGTGAAATAGTTATTGGGATAGCATTTTAATATAATTATCATATTTCAGAAATACCCCGAGAATTATGATAAATCATACACTATTAGCGTGTCCTCATGCACTGGTAAAAAAGAACAAATAACTGTTGATATAAGATTGAGAATGGAAATGGGGAATGTGTCAAAGAGACAACAACCCGACCATATGAGCAGACAACAGCCGAAGGCCACAAATGGGTCTTCAATGCAGCGAGAAACTCCCGCACCCGGAGGCGTCCTTAAGCTGGCCCCTAAACAAATATGTATACTAGTTCAGTGATAATGGACGTCATACTAAACTCCAAATTATACACAAGAAACTAAAATAAAAAAAGATACAAGACTAACAAAGGCCAGAGGCTCCTGACTTGGGACAGGCGCAACAATGCGGCGGGGTTAAACATAAATTTTTATATCTCAACCCTCCCCCTATACCTCTAGTCAATGTAGAAAAAACAAACGTACAACAGTACGCACAGTAAAACCCAGTTTAAGAGAAATCCGAGTCCGATGTCAGAATAGGAAACAAAATGACAATAATACATAAATAACAACAGACTACTTGCAGTTACTGACATGCCAGCTCCAGACCTCAATTAAACTGATTGAAAGATTATGTCTTCATGATATGAATATCAGGCACAATCCCTCCTGTTAGGGGTTTAGTATTATACCATCATAAAATATATGAGAAGAACATAACCCGTGTCATGCCAACAACTGGTTTTAGAATAAATATGTTTAATTCCGATGCAAAGACCCTATAAGTGAATCAATATTAAAGCCAAAATAAGCCATCTTTAATGACCTGACAACAGTATCGTAACTATATCCCTTCTTAATAAGTCTGTTTAAAGGTTTTGTTAGCTTTTGAGGTGAATACTGACATTTTTGTGCTTTGTAAATATTATATTTCATGCATTGTACTTTCGAGTTGATCAACATCGAACAATCACAGACTATGAAACTGTTTAAGTCTTATATAGGGATCACTTCAAAAAGTAACAAAAGTTACAAGAAAATCTCTGATCTATAAAATGATACTACAATTGCAAAGGTTTTCAACGCTTAACGTATAGGCTTTTGTATTCTTCAATTTGTATGACGTAAGTAAATCACGATGTTTTCGTTTTTTTTTTCCATCTTAGTGTCATTGCAATAAATATAAAGTTTATGATCAAATAGTGTAATAAACAAAATATGCTTCATTTGATAGCATTTTGTATATAAAAGGGTAAGAATATGTACATGTATGTTTTTTCTAATAATTGCCTTATAAACCAACCAATCAGTCAGGAGAAAATATTCACACACATAAACATATCAATAAAACCATACTCATGAACGGATTTGTTTTATATACATCAAAAGTCATTTCATTCGAAAATCGAGAAAAAAATACACATAAAAAAATAATTAATGACAATCATCAATTTGATATTTAATATTTCCTACAACTACTTTCTTTTCTCGATTTTAAAAATGTTTCTGAAATTTGTTTCGTGTTTATTTCGGGTTTTTTTAACACATAAACATAAAAAAAGAAAAGAAAGCGAATGCAATACACAGAAATACATAGTTTTGGCCTTTTTATAAAACACGAAGATACAATTATCGTTTTTAACGTGTGACAATATGATACTTAGAAGTTTGAAACTTCATAGAGTTAACTTGACTTAAAAATAATCAGATCTTGTTATCAAAAGTAAATAAAGTATCTCCTTAATATTCTTTTAACATCAATTAATTTTGATGGTGTATTTTTTATCACTAGACCATCAAGATGAAATGATGTTAAAAGCATAATAAACTGTGTACAGTTCAGATGTTGAAATTAAAACTAGTTAAAACGTATCAATTTAAATGATTAAAAACTGATAAAATCAAATTAAAAATGAGATACTTTATTAACGCTTGAAAAAAAAAATTTGATTTATTGTTATGTCATGTTATGTCATGTTAAACTAAATAAACTTCTATTATAGATTTCAAGTAGTTAAAGTTTCATATTTACAATGATCGTATTTCTCCATTTAAAAAAAATCTCTTGAGTGACGGTTTCTAGATTTGATGAATTAAAGCCATTTTTAGCCAATGTCTGCCTTTAAAACTATAAAGTCTACTACAAAATCTAAAGATAAATCAACACGAGGCCACAACAAAAGGACAATAATTCAGGAGCTGTCCACAGATACACATATCCTGTTTACTAGTGAATATATTGCACCTGTTGTGTTGTACGCATCAAGTTATATCCGGTGACTCCTAGTATTCCGTTATAAGCCACAATTGAAAGGCGGTAGTTTTTATTTGGTGAAGCCAAGGCGTTTTAGAAAACCAAGCGTGTACCGATTTATAAGTAGGCTTACTTTTAGAATGATTTTATTTAATTTCCTAGCTAGCAACACCAACAGAAATCCATTTCTTTCTCATATCCAGTGGCGTTTAAAAGTGATAGTAATTTTAATTGTATCGTATCGCACATGCAACCCAATTTTACTCGAATTAGAAAATGGGTTTATTTACAAAGCAAAATGAAGATCGTCATGATACATGTAGCTAGAATGATTGTGTATTGCTTTACGCGACATCAGTTCTAAAAAGGCTTTATCGCAACGAGAGTCATACAAAGGTACCAAGCTTTTATTTGTGTTTGTCAGACGCGCGTTTCGTCTACATAAGACTCATGTGTGACGCTCAAATTAAAAAAGTCGCAATGCCATATTAATTACGAAGTTGAGCAATGAACCGAAAATTATGAACATTTATGTCAAATTGGTTTCAGGCAATCTTTGCCTGGGCTATAAAAAAGCCTTTGAGTTCCAAACTATGCAACATTTTTTTAACAATAAAAAATGAACTTATCAATGATCATGATGATAATTCATGTCAATACAAACTGATGATAACTGGACTGGCGTTATCATAAACAAAGAGGGAAAGATGTACCTACAGTTTATATCATACAATAACATACATGTATATTAGGTCATCCTTGACACAGATATTTCGTAAAGGTAAACCAAGTCATGAGTGTGTTAAAATTTATGTAATAAATCATGATCATGTCATTTACGAAGGGTCCAATTTTAATTTAATTCTACAAATATGAAGAATTTCTGAAATAGCAACATCTCTTTGAACAAAAAAAAAATTACATTATGAAATCAGTATCCATACACAGAGAGTATAAAAACATATTTAAAAGACATTGATAAAAAACATAAGCAGTAAAATTCACTCATATCAGACATTAACAGTTGGCATCAGTTATAACCAATCTTCAAATATGTCAGGAACTGGTCAAGAACAGTCTGTAGGACAGTTCCCGTGAAAACTTTAGAACAGTTTCTAAATGAGCGGTTCTATTCGTGAACAGTGTTGAACAGTTCTACCCTATAACAGTTTTGGACACACAAACATTTCTAGCCAAGAACAGATTCTGACAGATAAATCGTAGATTAGCTTCAGACAGTTCTTCCCTAGATCAGATTCTTATAGTTCTACAATATAACTGATGCTGACAGTTCTACCCGAGAAACGATCCTAACAGTTTTTTCTTCAAATCACTTTTCTCTATATTTATATATAAAGTTATTTATTTAATTAATTAATCCAACACATTTAATATTTTTTTCTTACTTTATTCAGCTTATTTTTGTTTTATTTGTGAAAGTTATTTGATTAATCTTATTTATTTTATTCTATTTTATTTTTTTGTTATCTAGTTATTTATTTTTTATCTGTTACTTTGTTACTTTATTATCTTTCTTTTTTGTCTGAAATTATTTAATTTCATAACATATATATTTGTTTATTCTATCTATATCATTTCAAACAAAATACTCGGGTAATCGTTGTTACTTTTATAACTGATTCTTTTTTTCACTGTTCTTTTTTTGAAATCGGTTTTATTTTTGTTTTAGTTTTTAGCGTTAATACTAGCGCGTGCCAACATTTACATAAAATACTAACGTACATATTTATCATTACTTAAAAAAACGAATCTATTGTATATTGTCATGTCAACTCGGGTATAAAAACACATCCCTAGAAACCGATTTTGCCTCAATATTGACACAGATGGACGACTTCAGACTAAAATCTATGACAAACGGGATGATTTCAACTTCCCAATTATCAATTTCCCATTTCTCAGCAGTAACATACCCTCTGCCCCGTCGTATGGGGTTTACATATCTCAATTGAACGTCATGATCGTGCATGTTCACACTACGGACTTCATTTACAGGAGTGTGCTCCTAACGCAGTAACTGTCCCAACAGAGTTATGAGAAGGAAAGATTTAAAATGACACTCCATAAAATTTATGGACACCAATAATTAATTCGCATTGCTATACGACGTTTATTTCGTTTGAGGTTTGAATTCCGTATTTTTGGTACATTTCACATATGTCTTATGTGTCAGTATAATCGAGTTACACATGGTTCGTCTACAGGGTTTTTATTTTATGTTGTTTGTTTTCGTGTGTGTTTACTGTTTGGTCTTACATGATCTTGCCTTTTATCCAGTTATTTTTATTTTTATTTTCTATATGTATGTAAAAGTTAAGATATAAAATCAACTACTTTATTTGCATGATTTTAATTTTAAAACAACTATATGCACAGGATTTTTTTGTTTATACACAGTTTTGATTTAGAAGAAAAACCAACATGCTTAGAAAATACAAATAATTACACACAAAAAAAACACAATTCCATTTTAATATTTTTGTCATGGTTAAAAAATACATAAAATATCACCATTACAACTCAATCCCAATTTGTATTCTAAGTGTCTATAGATTAAACTAATCTATTTCATTTTTAGAAATTTACCTGTGATAATATAAACGTCACAAAAAAATACGTTACTTTTGGTGACGTTGATCCATTCATGTGACGCGCAGTTTGTATTTCTTTTTTGGATATCCTGGTGTGCTGTCGTAAATTCATGGGAGATGTCCGTTGTTATTCTGCGATTTACATGTTGTAATGTACTATTATATTATTTATTTATGTATTTCTCTGTGCTGAGTGTTTTGTGTTTGTTTTGTACTGTATGCCTGTCACGTAGTGTTGTCATTTTAGCTGTATTTTTAACATTGCCATATAAACGGGAGGTTTGGCTAGCCATAAAACCAGGTTCAGCCCACCATTTTTTCTTAAAATGTCCTGTACCAAGTCAAAAATATGGCAGTTGTTATCACACGGTCCGTTGCTATGTGTGGTGGCGTTTGCTTTTGTTGTAGTTCAGTGTTTCTGTTGTTCCGTTGTTTTCCTCTTATAGTTGATGTGTTTCCCTCGGTTTTAGTTTGTTACCCGGATTTGTTTTTGCTTAATCGAATTATGACTATTGAACAGCGGTATACTACTGTTGCCTTTATTTGACACTGAGTAATCTAAATAATTTACAGGTAATAAACACCCAAATGTGTTCCGCCACCTGTACGTCTAAAACTAATCCATATAAAATCCATTAAAAATATGTTTATTGATGGTCTTAAATCGTACAATTTCATTAATATAAAATAAGCCGATGCTGCACGATTGTAAATGAGACAATTATCCCACAGATGTAACATGATATGGATTAAAGCAACTACAGGAGACCATACGACCTTGAAGAATGAACAAAATGCATGCCGTATAGTCAGCTAGAAGTTCCCACATGACAAATTGTGGATAAAAATGTAAAAAAAAAACAGCGACCTGATTAATGCCAAAAACATTTACGAAAAAACAAATATTACAAACATCAACATATGCCAGCCACCGAATTACTTACTTCTTACTTGCGACAGGTATTCATTCGTTGTAGATTGTGCACCTAAAAAAAAACCTTCGAAATGTTGAATGATAATTTCATGTCAGCTATTTACCAACTAGCAATTGCAAAACTGTAAGACAAGGGAAAAAGTAATGAAAAAGTATTGACTTTGAAATTATAATTAATATCCAGCTTGATAGTTTCCTGTCAATTAACATGATAAATATCGAAATGTGAGCATCTCTTTTAAATATATATGTGAACTATATATATGTATACAATATTATATAAACTTAAAGAACTTTCGTGATAAAGATATCTTAAATTTATATGATTTAAAGGAAAAGTCATATATAAAATTTATGGGACGATCCGATTTTAATTCACACTGCTTAAGATTATTTTCCCAGTACATTTATAAAGAAATAACATTTAAATTTGTTTCTGTTATTGAACAGATCATTAATCATACATCTGGTTTACCTTTGGAAGTTTGAAAGCACCTGAGTTCACCCGGTTTTTTTGGTGGGGTTCGTGTTGCTCAGCCTTAAGTTTTTTCTTTGTAGTGTTTTGAAATGTGTTCGTATTTTCGTCGTTTAATGTTTATTGCCAAGACATTGTCAATTTTTTCTTCAACTTATG